GTCAGACACGTGGGGCATCGGGACTTGTTGTGGCAGCCCCTCAGGTCCTAATGCTGAGCCACGGGGTGAAGCAGCCTGGGAGCCAACAGGATCTGCACGTGCTGCAGTGGAAGAGATGGGGAGTTCTGGTGGTGAGTCCTCTTGGCACCACTCTGAACTTCACCCAATCACAGACCAACCATGCATCCACCCATCAGCCCCATGCCAGGAACCTGGACCCACATCCACACCTCCACTACATCAAAACCGAAGGGAACACCCTGGTTTTTGTCTCCTCCTTGCACGCTAAATGATTTTCAGCTCTTTCTTTTCCCCTTTTCCCCTGGAGAATCACAGCAGACAAATGACAAATCACCCCTAATCCACCTGAACTGCTAAATCTCTCAGTAATCCCTCCTCAGCACAGCTCTGGTGCTGCAACAGCCTTCCTTGGTACCATTAATCAGCGAGTTTGGCTCCCGGGTGCCTCTTGGTACGTGCCTCCACGAGGAGATCCTCTCATTTATAAAACTTGGGGACCTCCCACAGCTCCCCATTCCCCACGACCTCGTCCAGAGGGTCAGCGCACAGAGTAAACCGCTTGAGAGGGAAGGTCCTAATATTTATATGGGAAGCCATTAGCAGGCAATCTCTTATCTGCCTCCTGTTTTGAAGCTGGGGCTGAGGGTGATGGCAGGGCTATGGGCAGTGCTGGAGCTGCCTCAGAAATGCCCTGACGTGCTGCCATTCACCCCTGGGGATGGGTTACAGCAGAGGGGAGAGAATGTTGTGTGCAGAAAAAATCAGAGAATCACAGCATGGCCTGGGTTGCAAAGGAGCACAACGCCCATCAGTTCCAACCCCTGCTGTGTGCAGGTCACCAATCAGCAGCCCAGGCTGCCCAGAGCCACATCCAGCCTGGCCTCGAATGCCTGCAGGGCTGGGGCATCCACAGCCTCCTGTTCCAGTGCCTCACCACCCTCTGAGTGAAAAATTCCCTCTTAAAATGCAGAGAGGGAATAAATAAAGAGCTCAGTTCCCCGCCTGTCGGGTTTGAAAGCCACACAGAAAATCCCAAATCTACCCTGATACCTCCTCACACAGTGCACTGTGTGTGACGTTGTACAACAGCACCCAGCAGGAGGATGGAGCGGTCCTCTGGGGTCTTAAAACACCTCGACCTACAGAATAATCATCATCTTGTGGGTTCCCCTGAGCCTGCCCCAGACACTGAGCGTAGCTTTGAGCACAGAGGTGGGCAAATCTTCTCTCCAATGGGAAAGATCTTGGTAGGTCTTTGCATGGGGCATATGGAAAGGTCGCAAAGAGGAAAATGAAGACGGAGTGGGGATGCAGCAGTGGTGAGGTTCCTGCAGGACCTTCCATGTGAGAAGAGGTGGCGGCTTGTTGGGGACTGGGAGGCGTGCAGGTGCTGGGCAGGCAGGATGTCTACAGCACAGCTCTATCACACACTCATTTCCTTAGGAAAAGTGGCAAAAAGGCAAACCAGAACCAAAAGTAGAGAATGAGGCAGCGGGGTTTCAATTTCCCTGATACTGCACTCATTAAACGCTCATCGGAAAGAACCCTCTGCTCCTGGGCTGCAGTGCAGCTGTGGATATAACTTCATAATGTCCTTTTTTCACGTCTGTGTCCCTCATACGGTGCTGGGAATCCAGGTGGGGCTGGGAACGGGAACAGAAGCTCAGACATAATGAAACTCATTGGGAGCAGCAGTTGGTTGGCACTGCATTACCTGCAGCATCCAGCAGTTCTGTAGTTCTGTAGTTGTTGGGTATGGACTGAAGTGGGGGCAGAGGAAGCTGCTGCACCTCCCTGAGCCCTAACAAAGCTCACTGTCATTGTCCTTAAGGTCAAAAGGAGACATCCAGGCATAGGCTGGAAAAGTCTGAGAGAGGGGAACAAACTGAGCTCCCCATCCAGGTCACCACCCTGAGCTAAGAGAATTCCCAGAGCCAGGAGCTGCTCCCAGTCCTCTCTCCAAGCCCAGCATAGGATGGTTCCATATAGAACAGAAGAAACACGTTTTCTAAACCAGGAAGCTGCCCCTTAGCAGCATTCACGTGTGTGTACACATAAGGCTGGTCCTCTTGCACCCGTGAGAGATGTTCCTGTCATCCAGCTTCCTTTTCTGCTCAAGTATTCAGGTCTGTCTGCTTGGATTGCTTGCACCAAAACGGATTTCTGAGGTGTCACCATTTGCAGTCGCTGAAATTCTACACTGACACCATCACGTGCTGATTACTAAATGCTGAGAAATGTAGGATCTTGGCTCTTGACCTGGGAAAGACACTCGATGATTGCAAGGAACTGGCTGGCTGGGGACAGTTGTGGGGGCAGCTCGCCACATGTTTGGCTGCTACTGGACCAGGGGAGGTGGTGTGAAGTGTCAGAGGGAACGCAGCTTTTTGCCTCATATACAGATTCCCATTTGCTGGGTGAGCCAAGTTGAATGCCAGCCCACGGCTGCAATTAAGCAGGGCTCCCTGCTGCTTTCTGTGGGGCTGGAGTGGGGCTGCATGGCCCAAGGACTCAGCCCCACGCCAGAGGTGTTGCTCTTTAGGAGGAGTTGTGGTACCAGGGAGTGCACAGAACTGGTGATTTAATAAAGACAGAGGGAAACCATGGGGCAGGCTGAGGGGAGACAGTGGTGGCGTGGTTTGGTCATGGGGGGAGGATGCTAATGGGTGAAGGATTTGGTGCTGCCAACCTCATCGGACTCTGCCATGAAAGTGCTCGGGATCAGGCATAGCTAAATCCATTCCCAGTGCCACGTCTTTCCAATCTGTTGTTACCAGGCTGTGCCATGAGCTTGGTTTAACCTAGAGGATCAGAAACCCTTAGCTGGATGCCAACCAGAGCGTGGGATTATATGGCAAGGCACAAACAACCCGACCGGCGTCACGGGCCCTATTTAACTTTGGGGTGAAGTCCCTCCCTGATTCTCCTCCCTTACATTGGAAACTCACATGAGAAATGAGCAACGTGATTGCTTCTTTAGGTGATGCTTCTTTAGGTCTGCTCAGGTAAAAAAGCTGAGGGTGTTGGAGGACAGCACCAAGCCATTGTGTTTGAACAGGAGCAATCCATGCTACCTGCTGAGGCTCAGCCGCATGTTTGGGACTACCAAGCTGGTATTTGCCTCTCTCATATCCTGTAACATCTTTGTTCCTGGAAAACCTTGATCATCTCTCTGCAGGAGATGATCAAGGAGTGGCCAGGAACAGCAGCTGTGAGAGCCCCAGGCTGAGCTTCCTGGTGAGATTTCGTGACAGAGCTCAGCATTCCTCCAGCTGCTTTGCTCTGCTCTTACAATTCACAGTTGTCCCAAGGAGAAAGCAGCAAGGAAACACAGCGTTGTTCCCTGGTAGATTCCGCAGAAGCTTTCCGACGGAATTGGAAATGCACAGAGACCCTTCCACAGTTATTTTTAATGCGGACATCAAACGTCTCAATGTGCCTCGGTTCCAGGAGACGCACATTGCCAGCGGGGCTGTGGGACACAGCACTGTTCTCCTGGAGTCTCCGTCCTGGGACAAGGCATCTGGTTAGAGGAACGCCTCCAGGAGCTCACGTCTCTGCTATAGCCCTGGGCTCAGGGCTTGCCCTCACATGCTGTGTGCGCAATAAGGATATTGCTGCGCTGGCACTGAGGGCTCAGCCCTCTCATCTTCCTCTGCTCACCGAGGTGAACGCTCTGCCCTTGAAGCCCTGCAATCACTTTGTCAGCAAACGCAGCGAGCAGTAAGCTTCTCCTAAGAGCTCAGCCTTATTTTTTGTCTTAAGATTCTGGGGATTCCAAACCTATTCATCACACAGCAATAAATCCTCGTGTTCGGTCCTGCCAAGTCTGTTACCTGAACGGCTTCTTTGTTCGAGCCGTGTCACCACTCATCACTTTCTGAGTGATCTGTCACCTCATGTCACCTGTGCCACTCAGAACAATTCTCAATTCACAGCTTCATGATTTGTTTTCTGTGCCTTCCCTGTGTGTGCTCATTTGTTTAATTTACATCACTCACCTCTCCCAGCTGACGTTCCTTATGGTCCAGCTTTTCAGGAGTACAAAAGTGTTGAATTTTCTACCTGCCTGAAGCCTCTCATCTGGTGCTCCGGGATCCTTCGACTCAGAGCTTTCTGCAGTGCTTGGAAACTCAATTCTTTCTTCTCCACAGCCTTGAAGAAAATAACATCTGGGGACATCATGCAGGAGTTTCATTTGTGCTTTTGGCCGCAGTGCTCAGATACCCTCAGCAAGAAACGATAGTTAATCCCTATAATAACACATAATGGCTGTGGGTTTTTTTGTCCCAGCCAAGCGCAGCCAAGCTCAATGCGAGATCAATTCACTCTGGCCGTGGCAAACAAACAGCCTCCGTGTGTCCACAGATCATGTTGTACAATGCCTATTCACTGGGGCTGGAGTCACTCCAAAGCCAGGTCTGTGGGGCTGGGTACAGGAAGGATCCCCTGAATGGTCCTGATCCAAGGGCTCCCCTACTCTGAAGCTCCAGGTGATCCCCGATGTCACAGTCCCATGAGGATGGAGATCCTGGAAAGGTGATTAGGAGAGGAATCCTGGCATGGGGATGGAGGCAGCTGTGGCACGAACCCCGCTATGTGCAGGGGGCTTGTAAACCTGGGGCCTCAACCTCCACTCCCTCCTAACTCTCCCGACCTTTCTCAAACAGAGATGTCCTGTGTGACACAAGGTGGAGAAGAAAGCACATCAACATGCAAATCCTGTGGCCAAGAATGGTGAAGGAAGTAAGCTACTGCATGTATAGAGGTGTTATAAAAAATGAGGTGTGCTTTAATTGCAGTCAATAAAGGAGTTGCTTTGTTTAACTTTTGTTCACAAATTTGTCAGAGGAATCTGTCCTTGTTTCCTTATGGCCTTCGTTACTGGGTGAGGGTTCTGCTGGCTGACATTTGGCACACGCCATTCAAAATGCCTGGAACACATCACTGATCCCACCCCACGTCTGTGCTTTCCTTTGTTCTCCTCTGTTCCTGGTTGTGCCCTTCACTTCAGCTTCTCCCCTGCACTGTGCAGTTTCACACCAGGACCATGCCTACAGGTGAGCTGCCACGGTTCTTTCTTTTCCTTAGGGGCACTGGGTTGCATCAGGGAGGAGGTCTGTGGAGATCCGTTTTTGCCTCTGTTTGCAGGGAGGTATTTCTTCCCTCTGTGCTCTCACATCATGCCTGTCAGTAGTGTCAGCATAACTGATAGACATGAAGTGACTGGTGCCAGTCCCACCAGCTTCTGCCAGAAATCCTGGTGCTGCAAATCTTACCTGTAAGACACTGGGGTGTGGGTTGGTGCTGTATGTGCTCCCTTGTCCTGCAAATAAGAGGTAGAAAACTAAGCATGCAATGAAGACCTGTCCTGTTAGACTGTCCCAAGAGCTGCAAAAGAGGCAGAACCCAGGTTTTGGGGCACAGGCTGCAGCCCTATGATCTCAGAGACCACAGCAACTGCAGAAAAGAGCATGGGGATCAATGAGAGCAATGGGGCTGCTGCAGAGCTGGAAGACCGTGTCTCTGGTACAGAAGGGTACAAACAGAAGGATTGTGCTGCTTAAAGGGTGGAAGATGGTGTTCTGACAGAGGCTGCTGATAGTCTGGAGATTTTGACCTCTAGACTGGCCAAACAGAAAAAAAATATATATATTAAAGACTGCTAATTGGGAATGCTAAATGCAGGTTGCATCTCAGCAACAAGAATCTTATTGGCATGGGGTTACGGAGGCCACAAGGACCCTGAACTGCAGCTTGCTTTAAGGTCTTAACTTGCAGTTCTGGATGTTGTTGGCCAGAATGGGGATGTGCATGCGTAGATAGATGAATATTTACGTGTATTTATAGTAAATAAAACAGACGTTTGCACACTCCTCTTTGCGCTCCCACACCCTGTATGCATGTAATATATTTTTCCTGCTGTGACGTCCAGCTAAATGGCAGCCACCAAACAGCAGCACCTGGTCCTGAGACGACGTCAAAATCAAGATGGCTGCCACCATGTGTGTGTGTGGGGAAACGCCTTCCCGCTCAGAGGGAAAGGAGGCGTGGCTTGTCCCACCAGCCAATCACAACGTGTTGTGACCAGAAGGGGGCGGGGCTTGTGGAGGAAATGTGCCTGGTGGGCGGGGCAGCGCCTCAGGGCTGCGTCCCTCAGCGCTGGGCGGTGTTATGGCGTGGGGCTGAGCGGCCGGGCGCCCCCTGCTGGTGGCGCTCCTCTGTGAAATGAGGGGCGGCTGATGAGAAGCGGCTGTGGGTGCGGATGGAGGAAAGGCCGGGCGCCGTGGAGGGGCGGCTGTGCCCCGTGGGCGCCTGTGGGTGTGAGCACGCTGTGCGTCGTGCTGCCACAGCAGCCGTTGTGTCTGACAGGAGGAAGCTGGAGGTGAATGCGCCTCAATGCTGCGCCCGGCCCCCCTGCCCCCCCGCCGTGCTGTGCACACAGAGCCGTGGCCCTGCTGGCATTGGCATGCAGCCTCCGCTCAGCGCTCTGTCTGTGGTGTTTGCAGATCCATTCACGGAGCTCTTGGAAGGGAGGAAGATCTCTTGGAAGAAACTCCTCACCTTCCTCCTCTTCAGCTTCATCTTCAGCTTCTGCCTCTTCGCTTCTCTTCGTCAGTTCAGGACTCCCGAGCCAGAGGATTACAATTCCTATCTTTCCACAGAAAGATTCCAAACTGGAAATACCAGCACGCTGCCGAAGGGTGAGCGCAGGCTGACCATCCTGCTGTGGACGTGGCCCTTCGGACACCGCTTTACTTTTAGCAACTGCTCGGAGCTCTTTGACACCCCGAACTGCCACTTCACCACCGACCGCAGCTGGTCCCAAAAGGCAGATGCTGTGATTATGCATCACAGGGATGTGTATAGGGACAGAGAGAGGCTGGCTCAGCTCCCCAGGCTCCCGTCCCAGCGCTGGATCTGGTTCAACATGGAGTCCCCAAGTCACTCTCCAAACTTAGGTGCCATGAACCACCTCTTCAACCTGACTATGTCGTACCGGAGAGACTCGGACATCTTCACCCCCTATGGGGAGCTGCAGCTGCTCAGCCAGCCCCAGCCCTTCAGCATCCCACCCAAGACCAAGATGGTGGCCTGGGTGGTCAGCAACTGGAGACCAAGCTCCCACCGGGTGAAGTACTACGAGGAGCTGAAGAAACACATCCCCGTGGATGTGTACGGACGGCATCACTTGCCCCTGTCCATGGACTTGCTCCAGCAAACTCTGTCCCAGTACAACTTCTACTTGGCCTTTGAGAACTCAGAGCACGAGGACTACATCACTGAGAAGCTCTGGAAGAACGCCCTGTCCTCTGGCACCATCCCTGTTGTTCTGGGGCCGCCTCGAGAAAACTACGAGCACTTCTTGCCCCCTGACTCCTTCATCCACGTCGATGACTTTGCCAGCGCCGGTGAACTGGCTCAGTACCTGCAGGAACTGAGCAACGACACCGAGAGGTACCAGCGCTACTTCCAGTGGCGCAAGTGGCTGAAACCTGTGCTGGGCATTGGCTGGGCCATGCAAGTCTGCAGAGCCTGTCACTTCCTGCAGAGGACAGAGGCCAGCTACCACGCTGTGCCCAACCTGTCCAAGTGGTTTGTATAAAGCCTGTTTGCTCAGCTCTCTGCTGCGTTGTGATCTTTTTGTCCTCGCTGGCTGGTTGCAGGTTTGAAGGCTGATTGAATGTGATAGAGCCAGAAGGACGAGAGGAGCTTTGAAACAAGCAGTAATGAAGAAGCGTTTTGGTGTTGGGTGTGCCTTTGTCTTACTAGAGAATAGACTGCCAGGTAGAGTAGGACATTGTATTCTGCAGTGCATTAGGTACCGACCACGTTACGCTGGCTGCAGCTCAGTCTTTGGAGAAACTCAGAGTGAAAAATGCTCTTTTTTTTTTTTTTTTTTAAACCGAAAACAGTTCTGGATGGACTCCACTGATTGAAAGGCAGAAAGAAGGGGCAGAGTGGGGAAGGTGGAGAAGCAATTTATACAGTCGTAAATCTGTTTCAAGGTTTCTGTACTGTGCAGAGCTGCAGCTGGAAGGGGCGGCCATGCTGTGCAGCTGCTGCTGCTGCAGGAGGAGTGGCGGCGCTCCTCCCTGCTGACCTCTCTTTGCCTCAGGCTCTGCCTTTGGGGTGCTGCATCAGGATGCTAAGCAGGCAGGAGGCTGCTGTCTGTATTTTACAAGTCTGTTTTTTGGACAGCTTAGTGAGACAGCGTGAGTCTGGGGAAGGATCTGACAGGAGCACACTGCTGTGGGTAAGGAGTGGGGTGACACGGATGGGCCCCGAAAGGGCTGTGAAGTTTTCACAGGAGCAGCACCCTATGGCAAGGGAATGCTGAGCACAGCTGTGTGAGGGGCTGCCTCCTCCTGTGTGCCAGAGCATCCCAGCTTCTGCCATCAGCTGATGGCCGTGCTCCGGGCTGTGCATTACAAGCACCTTGTTGTGTTTGACCTTTATTGAACTTCCTGCTGCTGTCCAGGTCACACTGCTGGAAAGTTTACTTTCCAACCGGGGAGCCCCGTTGCATGGAGATAAGGGACACAGCCCAGGCTCCCTGCTGCCACCTCCGGACATCCAGCTTGTCTTCCTGACTGCTGCTGAGCCCCGAGCTGAGGTTTCCAAAGGTCTGTTGTAGCCCCAGGATGTTTCCACGAGGAAAGTCAGCTCCAAGCCCAGCGATGCATACAGAGACACAATTGTTTTCTCCATCAGCACCGTTTAGTAAAGATTTCCAAAGAATTCCCTCTTCATTTCCTTGCGCAGTCATTCTGTGGCTGATGACCCACCAGCAAGACCGTGTCTTTAGTGTTCTCAGTCTGTTCTTTCACAACCTTTGTGGCCTGTTTTTTTTTTCTGTTTTCCAGATTGGTTGAACATACCGACCATCACAAGCCTAAGAACAAATCCTTCACTCTGAAATCTGAACTTTTATCCCTCCTCTATTTCCCATCCTTCTGATGGTACCCATCTAGATGGGGCCTCACCAACGCTGCTTCATTTCTTGAAGGGCCTTTGCTGGATCTTAGCAAAGAAATTCACACAGAGAAACATGCCACATCTTCCTTGGCCGTGTGCTTGCTGACTGCTTCAAAGAGCAAAATATTTTGAAGCAGCCGTCTTTATTGCCAAATATTTGTCCATCCTTCTGCTCCTGCCTTGCCTGCCTGCAGGCACACACCTTTCCTTTAGCTCCTGGATGCACGCCGGTGTTCTTCCCATCTCTAAGCCCTTCAGGTCCTGAGCAGCTGGAGAAATGGAAGATGTTAACGCTGTTGACTGAGCCGGGATAGATGTGATTAGAGAGAAGGAATGGGTGACATCACAGGTGAGCGGTGTCTTCCTGCCAAGGAAGGGCTGGCATGGACATGGCAATGCCAGGACAAAGTCCAGCACGAAACTTCCCCTTCTCAGTGACACAGAGGCACACACAGGCTGAATTCCTTATGGGATGAGAAAGCTGACACCACAGTTGGGAAACTCTGGAAGGGGCAACTTCATCGAAGGAAACATCTGGATGGCTGCGGGGCCTGGCGCTGGTTTTTCCCATCTGCACCCACTTGGGAAAATGCCATACGTCAGTGTGAGGGGCTCCTTCAGTCTCTCACAGAGGTGATGTGAAAACACCTTGCTCCCCCCAGACCTCCCCTGCTTTCACCCAAAGGTGATAGGAGCCAGGCTGAAATGTTCTCAGCTGATGCTTTTGGGCAGAGATGGTCTGAAAAGCAAAGGGGAGAGGTTTGCTTCTCCAAAAGGAGAGCGAGAGGTTGATCCTGATGGGAAACCGTGGAAAGAATAATTTAAAAAGGTCGAGTTTTTGGAGCAGGATCTAAGCAGACAGCTGCCATCTAAGGCAGGAGGTGGTCAGCCTTCCTTGGTGCCAGCTGGCATGGCATGGCGCGGGGTTCTGTCCCTCCACTGGGACATCCCTGTCCCTTCATGGCCTGGAAAAGTGCAGTGTCCCCTCACTCCAAGTATTTCCAGTATCCTAGAAAATATCCCCATGTCCCTGCTGAGCTTCCTACCCATGGAACCCCTGTTCTGTAGGGCTGCCAGGAGTGGAGAGGAAAGGCAGAGCGTGAGAGAAACACAAATCCCCATGTAGTGCAGCACTGCAGTTGGGGATAGGAAGAGAAACGGCTGAGACAAACCGAAACCCTGAAAACACAGGAGATAGAGCCTGACAGCCCCTGCCAGGTTTGTCCTGAGTGCATGAAGGAACCCGAACCAACCCCAAACTCTGCTTTCCAGCTTTCCTGAGCCTATGGGCAGACACACATCCCATTTCTCAGCCGTTTCCTTTTCTACTTAAAAACATGAATACCAAACGTCGGGGCTTTACAGCTGGCACCAGCCACTGAAAATCCCCCACATCCAAGCAAGCAACACGCACCTCAACCCCAAGAACTGGCACTCAAAATCCCTTCAGCCCAGCCCAGGAGCATGACCTGTCTGTACGCTGTCGCCTGCAAACATTATTTTCTTTCTGCACGAGTCAGAGTTTCCAAGCAGCCCTCTCCAATTTGATCATTAAAACTTCACTTTGTCTTTTTTCCTTTTTTTTTCTTTCTCCTTTCTCTTCTATTTTTTACGGGCCGGCCGGCAGCGAGATGGCAGCTTTTGGAGCATTCACACCCCCACGGCCCTGCGCACACGCGGGCGCAGACGGAGATTTATGAGCCTCAAAAGATGCTTCGTAAAATATTTACAGAGCAGAGCTTCGGGGGCGAGTGGTTGAGTCGGCCACGAGATGTCGGATCTCTGGGTGGCACGACGGGGGGAAGATAAACAGACCTTTTTTTCCATCCCTGAAAAACCACTGTGAACCTTTTCGGGTTGGGCAGCGTTTTCCCTTCTGCCCACAGAAAGAGGCAGACACCTGGGGCCGAGGGGTGGTAAAGATGGAACGAACGAGTGCTGCTTGGATGAGTGGTTGAGGGCTGAACTTGGCTGGGATTCCGAATTGCAACATTTCCCCCAAAGCAAAATATCAACCACCATCATCATCATCTTCATACAGTGGAGCAACAGAAGCGCAGCCAACGCTGCTGCTGACTGCGAGTTGTTTTCCCTGTAAAACTTCTTTAACCTCAGCGCTGCTTCCGGATGAGCAAATGAAACACGTTTCTGGCTGACCTTATCAAAACCTCCCGTTCTCTTTCTCCCCTTCTTTCCTTTAAAAGCATTTTTTCTTTTTTTTTTTTGGACGTGATTTTGCCAGAATTGGTTCATCCCTACGGGACGCTTCAGCTTTGAGCCAACCCAAGTGGAAGAGCCTTCACACCGAGGGGATAAAGACAATTATTTCTGTGGCCAAACCAGTACAGACTCATACGGGCAACAACCCAGCCCTGGTAATGTTTTAAATCAGTGATTTCGCATCAATATATGTTTGTGACGATGGAATGACACAAACAGGGGCTGCTGGCGGACGTGCATGGAGGTTTCTGCAGGAAATGGGAAAACAAAGTCAAGCTCCATCCGCTCTTAGCCTGCAGAGCGCCGCGTGGACCCTCTCTGCTCTTCCAAGAGAAAACCCACATTTCCCATGCTCATCCCCACCCCACACTGGGGACGTAATGCCACCCCGCAGTGACTCGCTCAGAGGCAGCACTGAGATGAAAACCACAGGGAAATCGACACAATCACAAAGAAATCAATATAGTTCTCCTTTTATTTTCACTTTATCGTGAGTATGTAACAGCATCACACCCGAGTTTACGTTTGTTTAAAAAAAATAATATCATATTGCTTTCCCCCCCCCCCCCCCTCTTTGGTGTATAGAATAAATGGTAAAAATGTAATAAATGTAAACTGCACTTGGCACCATTTGGATCAATAAATAAAATCTTAAAAAAAAAGAGAGAGAGAAAGAGAAAGAACGCGTTACACAGATGGCACACTATGGTATCTAAATAAATAACATAAGTTACTTCGAATAAATAGGGAGTATCTAAAATATAGATGCATTGCATCAACTTCTGCAGATGGTCGGACAGAGCCGACAATACCAGAAGGGAAATGGGGTTGCACCAAAGGTGTTGAGTAAAGACGTGGGGACGTGGGGACGTGGGGATGTTGGGGATGTGGGGATGTTGGGGACGTGGGGATGTGGGGATGGGGCTGCCTCCTCCCGCGCTCACCCTTCTCCTGCCCATGGCTGCCAAATCTCTCCTTTTTTTCCCCCTTTTTTTCCCTTCTTTTCTTCCTCTCGGGTCTCACCTCGGAGGTTCTGCCTTGTTTAACCAAGAACAAAACCACGTGGGTAGCCCTATTTACAAAGAGATGGTGGCTGAGGTCTCGAGTACCGCCGTGAAACCATTTGTCTCGATAAACTGGGAGAAATTATTTCTTCCCAGCACATTTCTGGACCTGTTTAAATAAAGGACGCAATGTTTGCCAGTGCTTTCACCGAGTGGAAACAATGATGTTAGGCCCGTTCCCCCTCACCGATACCAAATCGGGAGTGCACCCATGTTGGCGAATGGGATCCCGACTGATGCAAGTGACAGGCGGAGCCGAACCAGAGCCAGAGCCGGAGTTACCCAAACACTGCAGGGCCATATGGGGATGTGTATAGTAAAACACAATGAAACGTCCCATAACTCATTATCAGAGAGTCGGGATAACATAACACTCATATTTTGCGCTGTCACAACCACTGGAATCGTTCTAAACATCTCGCCGTCGTTCCCAGCCCTCGTCTCCTGCCTTGGGTGATGGGCAAGCTGCAGGGTGGAAGATGCCCCC